CCTGGCCACCGCCAGCAAGGACTGTGCGGTGGTGATGTGCCGCGTGGGCACCCGCGAGGCTCTGTCCAAAGCCCTGGACAAGCACAGCACGGCCCCGTCGCTGGCTCCAGCCCTGCTCGACCTGGTGACCGACTGCGAGAAGTACGCCGGCCTCTACAAGAAGCTGACGACGAGCATCTTGGCCGGCTGCATCCAGGTAGGCCCGGGGAGGCCTGGCCGCGCTGGGGCTCTGGGTCTTGGGGCCATCCAGGGCGGGCTTGTGCTCTCTGCCTGCTGCAGCCGTGCGGCGGGCGAGGGGAGGAGGACCCAGGGCCCCTGGTAAGAGCCTCGCCCCATCCCATAGCTGGTCCTGGGGCAGATCGAGGAGCACCGCCGGAGCCACCAGCCCATCAGCATCCCCTTCTTTGATGTCTTTCTGCGCAACCTGTGCCGAGGTGAGCGCCGGGAGCGGGAGCTGAACCCCTGTGGCTGCTGTGTGCTGGCCGGGCAGCTGGAGGGTCCGTGTGCTCTGCCCGCAGGCTCCAGCGTGGAGGTGAAGGAGGAGAAGTGCTGGGAGAAGGTGCAGGTCTCCTCCAACCCCCACCGGGCCAGCAAGCTGACGGACAGGAACCCCAAGACCTACTGGGAGTCGAACGGCAGCACCGGCTCCCACTTCATCACTGTCCACATGCAGTGCGGCGTGGTGGTCAGGTGGGGCTGGGCCGGGTGGGCCTGGGGCCTTGGGGCCAGGAGGGCCAGCGGCTGTGTGGGAAGGAGAGGGCTTTGGGGATGTGTGCGAGCCCTATGCCCGCGGTGCCCATCCTGGGGGTCGCTGGACGTGGGCAGCAGCGTGTGGGGCTGGCAGGGGCCAAGGCAGGGCGGTGGGAGCAGCTGGGCAGCACCGTGTTTGCTGTGCGGCAGGGAGATGAGCATGCTGGTGGCCAGCGAGGACTCCAGCTACATGCCGGCCCGGGTGGTGGTGCTGGGGGGAGACAGCCCTGCCACCATCAGAACGGAGCTCAACGCGGTGAGTCTCGCAGGGGCTGCTCAGGCTGTGGGGCCCCACGGGAGCGGCGGCTGGTCCTTGCTGTGCCCCGTGGATATCTGGCCCTGGTGTGGGGCCTTGGGAGGTGCCCCGCAGGGAGGTGGGGACGGCAGGAGCTGCGCTGCGGGAGCGTCCTCCTGCTGTGGGCAGCGAGTGCTGGAGACTCGGGCACGGGCAGCCCTGCAGCGCAGTCTGCAGCAGGCTGGTGGGCTGTGGGAGCCAGAAGCGAGGCCCTGTCAGGGGTGCTCTGTGGCTGCTGGAGGGGCAGAGGCCATGGCTTTAACAGGGGGTGGCCAGGGGAGAATGCAGGGTGGCTTGTGCCAGCTGCCTGGCGTGCTGAGGGCTCGCTGTCTGCCTGCAGGTGACTGTCCTGCCCTCGGACAGCAGAGTGATCCTGCTGGAGAACATGACCCGCTTCTGGCCCGTCATCCAGATCCGGGTGAAGCGGTGCCAGCAGGTAGGGGAGCAGAAGGCCGGGCCAGGGAGCTGGCAGCATGGGGCATCGGGGCCGTGCCTGAGGAGCTGAGGGTCGTGCTCTCCGTAGGGCGGCATCGACACCCGTGTGCGTGGCATCGAGGTGCTGGGTCCCAAGCCGACTTTCTGGCCTGTCTTCAAGGAGCAGCTGTGCCGGCGGACATTCCTCTCCTGCACCGCTCGGGCTCATGCCTGGTGCCAGGAGATCTGCCGGGACCGGGGGCGACTGCTGCAGCTCTTTGGCAGGTGAGTTGTCTCCTGGCTGTGCCGTCATGTCCCAGGGCCTGGGAGAGTGGTGCTGGCAGTCTGTGAGGGGACTGTAGGGCCAGGAGGGGAGCAGCCGGGTGTCCTGCCTGGACAGGGAGGGGCCCTGGCTCCTCACTGGCTACCAGCAGTCCTGGAGGGCCAGGGCCACCCTGGGGTCTCCCAGTTTCAGCTGGGCCCGTGGGCACAGGGAGCCCACCAGAGAGGTGCCCCACGGGAGCTGGCGTGTCCTGACCTAGAGGGGGTCGGTCGGGCGCAGGTGGGACCTGGCGGCCGCAGGCACCACCACTGGCTGCTGGGGGCAAGTGGGGCTGCTGAGCCGTCGTGCCTGGCCAGGGGCAGGGCAGGGAGGGCGTGCTGCGCTCTGCTCTCCTGGGGGAGTCCCGCAGCCCTCG